TCAAATTCTTTGTAAGTAATGGATTGATGGTTTTCTAAATGTAGTTGCAGAGCAATAACAGATGGACTCATATCATAAAAGAGAAATGCAAAAATTCTCCACATAGCTTCAGGAGGAGATATCCATCTAGCTGATTGATACATTTTAATTTCATCATAAACAAAATTTGGATCATCCTCATTTACAGTAAAATCAACTTTATCATAACCTCTATAAACATATTTATATAAATATTTAACAACCTCAATTGTTGAACATACTTCAACATTAATATGAGAATTATACTTTGCTAACAAATATGGATTATATGGAACAACCCACCTATTATCCAAATAATGATTTCTAATCTTTATTTTTTTTCAATTATCAGGTCGTTTATATTTAGGATAGCATCTTTCATCTAGAACTGTGTTCGCACAAAATTTTTTTGGGTAGTCAAATCTACATTTGTTTTTGTTATTCATACAAACATTTTTTGGATTTAAAATACCACAAGTTTTTAGAATGTTCATAACTTTAACAACAATAGACTCAACTAACCAATCACTAAGATTGAGCCTAATTTCCACTTCATTTTTAGTATCGAAAAAGTAAAGCTGCAAATGAGAAGGACGATTGTCTACAAGAAAATTTTCATTTATAAAATGGTAAACCTGACTTGAATTCTAAATGTACATATATCATTATAATTTGTGCATAAATTTTTTTCATAATTTACACCAAAAGATGTCATAGAAAAATTGCAATTATAGCTTCGTACCATATTTCTAAAATTTCTTCAGAATTTGAGGTAAACAACATACGTAACTCTATGGGCACGTCATTTGTTTTTAAAATAACTTGTCCTTTTAAACAACAAAATCCCTTAGATTCTCTATGAGATTTCACAACGCCACAATGATCACAAATACTTGGTTCAGGTAGCAAATAAGGTTTCAAAAAAAGAGTATCACCATATTGCTGTGTTTCTAAAATCCCTAAAAAAATTCGTAAAAATTTGAATACAAAACACAACTTGACAATAGATTTTTATTTATGTTTATAACAAAACAAATATGGTATAATGCACATGAATAAAATGAAATAATGATTTACAATTCTTACCAGGCTCTTTGTCGCAACATTCATCACGATTGAACCTTTCGACCATTAAAAAGCTATCACATTTCCATTCCACATTTAATTACACACATTCCTTAGATCTGACCCTTTTTTTGTTACCGCCATTGTCGTACTTGTCTTCTATTACATTAGTAATATTTCGTTGCCGTTTAGAATGCAATTCTGTTCCATTTAAACCCTTGAATCATTCACTTCATAAGAACAATAAACATTAACATTAGACGGAAGTCTATGGAAAAAAAATGTAGTATGTATTTCATACGACCAGACCTCACACATATAGTTCAAACATAAACATCATATAAATGAGTCCACATAATCAATAGAGTACAATTACTAATCAACATCAGCAGTTTCAACAGAAGTGATCCCTTCGCTATGGGAAAAAAACTTATTTCGAGCAGATGATCGGATAAAGTAATGGCAATTTTGCTTTCCAAAGTTTTCTTCCATACTCTCTTCGAAACTGATATGATAAGAATAAATACTATGAGCTCTATAAAAATAATATGGTCCAAAAAAGATTCACTGACCAAAATAGGAAAAAATAGGAGAAACCCCCAAAAACTCCTGGCAATATTGGAAATAAAAGAACTAGGTAAAACTAAAAATCCAAAAATAAAGAGAGGAAGAGAAAAATTAAAAGCAAAGCCCAAAAGATTCTTAACAATATTCAAATTAATAGTAAACCCATCAACCATACCCAAGAGATCTTAGCAAAAAACGACATATAGCTACCAAAATAGGAAAAAATCGAAGAAACCCTAAAATATTATTAGCAATAACAAAATAAATAGTAAGTCCATCAACCATACCCAAGATTCATAGCAAAAAATCGATAGTTACTCATCAAAAATGAAAGTAATCTAAAAAACAGTTCGAAAACTGAAGAGGGAAAGAACGAAGGTGCAAATACCATCGGAGAAAAAGTTGAAGATTGCAGAAAAAATCTCCCGCGAAAAAACGACATCTAGTTACCAAAATAGGAAAAAATCGAAGAAACTCTAAAACATTATCGGCAATATCGAAATACATAGTAAACCCATCAACCATACCCAAGATTCACAGCAAAAAATCGATATCTACTTATCAAAAATGAAAGTAATCAGAAAAACAGTTTGAAAACTGAAGAGCGAAAGAATGAATGTGAAAATACCGTCGGAGAAGAAGTCGAAGATTGTAGGAAAAAATCTCCCACGAAATAGAGAGGAGAAGTTGGTGGCTAAAGGTCACGAAACTGAGAGAATAAAGAACGAAGGTGCAAATACTGTCGACGAAGAAGTCGAAGATTGCAGAAAAAATCTCCCACGAAATAGAGAGGAGGAGCCGGTGGCTAAAAGTTACGAAATTGAGAAGAATTTGTTGGCTATTTTCTTAGGGTTTGTGTGGAAGCTGAAGAATCGGGCAACAGCCAAAAAGAAAGGAAAATGTTAAAATATACATAAAAAGGAGAAAAAAGGGCACAACTGGAATTTTGAAAAGAAAAAAGGGTACAATCGGAAATTAGGCCTTATGAATAGTGCGAGTGAAATTGTCTCTTCTATTATTGTAATGGCTATAACGAGACCATTTTGACATGTTGATCCAATCAAAATTAGATAGGTAGGGCCCCTAATATGTCCATCTTTCTAAAATTTGTCTAGTGATATTCCTTATATTGTATTAGGAGTTGAGATTTATTGTCTCGAATTTGACGTTTTTGATACTTGAACATATCATCTCTTCTTATTATGTGAAGATGGAACATACTTTTCGATATCATAGCATATTACGCTAAAGTATTATGGTGAAGGAGACAAGCTTAGGGCATTGGATCTCGACTCATATAGATTTGCTCAAAACACAATGAATTTTGTCATTTGTACACGGAGCTTTACACGCCGAATTACCCACCCCTCATCCAAGTACCTGTAGCAAAATCCAAATACATTGGGATTGGGTTCTGATATTTCCCTTTTACACTAATAAGTAAAACACAAATATGTCACGATTAATTAATTAATTTATTTTTGTTAACTTTCTCTTCATCCTCTTTGGATAGGAAAGGGAATAGTTTTGTTCGAGAGTGTAGTTGGTTTTGTGTAACAACATACGAAATTTAGGAGGTTTATATGACGTGTGGCTTTCTTGATTTCGCACGTGAAC